GCAGAAATTCTATTCTTGCAAGCTAGCCTTACTTGGGATGTTATATTAATTTTCTTTAATGTAATTTTGAAGTCACCAATATATATTACTTTATAATTGAAAAAAAAAAAAAAAAAAAAAACGCTCCATACACCAAATATTCTTTTCCATACCTTATATCATTAGGACCTTCTATATGTTAGGTTATAGCATTTTAAAATTTTGTATTTCAACTTAGGGTTATTGGGATATGAAAAGAGATTGGTCTAAAATAGAGGAGTTTGATGAATAATAATAAAATAGATAAATTTATAAAATGTTATAGTGAACCGATTTATGACTCACTAATTATTAGATTGGAATTGAGTCATGAATTTAGATTAAGATTGTGATTGTTTCGTTTGACTCTTCATAAGAGTTTGTCTATTTTTGATGAAGGTTTTAGGCTTCATTTGCGGGCAACTTTTTTCCTGCTTCTTAAAATCAGCTTTTCTAGTAAAAAAATTTAATTTTTGTACTAAAAAGGCTACTTAAGAAGCAGAAAAAAAACAGTACCAAAACAAGCCTTAGGCAGCTATTGCTCTTTGGATAGTTATTTGCGTGATCGGACATGTCTTGATGCTAGATTGTGTGCCAAGTACAAGGTTGTGTAAGGGACAATAAGCATGATGAGAGAAATGGAAGAAAAATAATGTTTATAAATAGAATATCAAAAGAACATAGAGGAGTTTAGGTAGTTTCATTTAAACCATTTTATATCCACAATTAAAAATAAGATAAATAGTCCCCTAATCTAAAGAGAATATCTAAAATTATTTCTCTTATTTTCTTTCCTAAAGTCAAACTATGATCTACATTTTTTAAAGTAATTATTAAAACGACAATGTAGTGAACGACTCCAAAAATTTCCAAACTAACAGGAATATTTTGTGAAGGCACTATTCAAGCTTCATATGCGAAAAATGAGGCTGAAGATTAGTTGTGGCGAGTAGTAGCTCAGTGTTCATGGCGGACGAGATCAATGTGAACCACCAATATGAAGCATTATAATTTCATAACAACAATGACTCCCACATAAAAATATTATGTTCGAATTTGACAAATGAAAATATATGATATGTTCTGATTGTTCATGAGTAATCAAGAGGGAGATGATGGGTAGAAAAGTAAAATTTTTTTGTTAAATGATAGTAATAAAAATTAAACCAATCTTGTAAGAAATAAAAAGAAATAAGATAAGAATTCCTAATTAAGTTTTAATTATTCTCATTAGATTTTTATTTATTTAAAGAACCAGGGAGGCGAATTAGAGACACCCCTCCCCCCTCCCTCAAATAAACTACAAAATAGAATGGGAGATCAATATATGTAATGATATATTTTGATTGCTTATATTGAAATAAAAAAATTTATATTTATATTCATGATGAAATAATCATTACCTTTTCAAAAATAATAAAGAGTTGATATTATAAATTATTTGCTTTTTATTCTTCACTTTAATATTTATTATTTTTAAAATAATTAAAATTAAAAAAACTAGAGCCGCATGAAAAAAATTGAGGTAGATATTTTGAAAAAAAATTAACTTGAACCTCCCTCACTAGAAAAAAATTTCTAACTCTTTTGCACTCTTAGGTTCTTAGAGCATATATATTATTTGTTCAAAATAAACATTTAATCGATATCAATATCAAATAGGGGTTTTAACTGTCAAATAAATAATATTCCATTTTGCGGGCAAAAAAAAGTTAAACAA